TTTATTTAGGTCTTCTACAATTTTTTTCAGCAATGTTTTATAGTTTTCGTGTGACCTAGCATATGGTATATCCTGGAGAATGATTTATGTTTACTGTAGAAGAATGTGTATTCTGCTGTTGTTGGGTACCTGTTGCTGTTGAGTTGATTCTGACTCAGAGTGACCCTGTAGGACAGAGTAGAACTGCCCCATAGGGTTTCCAATGTTGTAATCTTTATGGAAGCAGACTGTCACATCTTTCTTCTGTGGAGTAGCTGGTGGAATTGAATTACTGACCTTTTGGTTAGCACCCAAGTGCTTAACCACTGCACCACCAGGGCTCCTTGTTGTTGGTTGTTGTTGTTATTTGGGTAGGGTGTTCTAGATGTGTCTATAAGGTATAGTTGGTGTATAGTGTTATTCAAATCTTCTATTTCCTTGTTGATATTCTTTCTAGATGTTCTAACCATTATTGAAAGTGGTGTATTGAGGTCTCAAACTATCATTGTTGAACTATTTCTCCCTTCAATTCTGTCAGTATTTGTTTCAGATATTTTGGGGCTCTGATGTTAGTGCATATTTATAATTGTTATATCTTCTTGATAATTGATGTTTTTATCATTGCATAACGCCATACTTTGTCTCTCATAACAGATTTTGGCTTAAAGTCTATTTTGTCTGATATCAATATAGCCACCCAAGCTCTCTTTTGGCTACTATTTGCATGGAATATTTTTTTCCCATCTTTTCACTTTCAACCTACTTGTGTCTTTGGGTCTAAGATGTGTCTCTTGTAGACAGTATATTGATGGACCTTGTATTTTTATGTGTAGTGCAACTCTTTGCCTTTTGGTTGGAGAGTTTATCCATTTATATTTAAGGTAATTACAAATAAGGACAGACTCATTCCTGCCATTTTGCATTTTCTGTGTCTTATATCTTCTTTGTTCCTTATGTCCTCCAATACTGCCATCATTTGTGTTTAGTTTATTTTTTGTAGTTATCAATTTTGATTCCCTTTTCCTTTCCTTTTGTGTTTATTTTTTAGATATTTTCTTCATGGTTACCATGAGAATTACATTTAACATCTTAAATTTATAACAATCTAGTTTAAATTGACAGTAACTTAACTTCAGTAACATACAATCTTTCGTTCCTATACGACTCCACCCCTCCCATTATGTAATTGCTATTTTAAATTATATAATTATATATTATATGCCCAACAGTATACATTTATAATTATATTTCATGTATTTGTGTTTTGAAATCATGTAGGGCATAACTACTAAAGTTGCAAACCAAACATACCATAAAACCGGCCCATGTATTTGCCAAAGAGATTGTCTTTATTAGAGATCTTTTTTTTCCTATGTATAGCTTTGAGTTACTGTTAAATGTCCTTTTATTTCAGTCTGAAGGACTCCTTTTAGCTTTTCTTGTAGGGAAGGTCTAGTCAAATGGACTTCTTCAGCTTTTGTTTATCTGGGTATTTCTTAATTTCACCCTCATTCTTTAAAAACTGTTGGATGTGGAATCCTTGGTTGATACTTCTTTTTTTTGAGTACTTTAAATGTGTCATTTCACTGCCTTCTGGCCTCCAAGGTTTCTGAGGAGAAATAGGTACTTAATCTTATTGAAGATCCCCTGTATATGACAATTTGTTTCTCTCTTGGTGCTTTCTGGATTATCTGTTTATCTTTGTTTTTTTTAGGAATTTAATTATAACATGTCTTGGTGCGGATCTCTTTGGGTTTATCTTACTTGGAGTTCACTGAGTTTCTTGAATTTGTAGACTCATAAGCTTCATAAAATTGGGAAAGTTTTCTGCCATTTTTTCTTCAACATTTTTTCTGTCCCTTTCTCTCTTCTTCTGGGACTACCGTAATGTGTACATTGAGACCAATGTCTGCTTGAATGTATCCCAAAGGTCTTTTATGGTCTTCTCACTTTTCTTCCTTTTTTTCTCAAACTTGATACTCTCAATTACCCTATCTCCAAGTTTGCTGATTCTTTCTTCTACCAGCTGAAATCTTCTGCTGAACCTGTCTAGTCAATTTTTCATTTCCGTTATTGTACTTTTCAGCTCCAGTATTTATGTTTGAATCTCTATTAAGATTTGTATCTCTTTACTGAAATTCTCATTTTGTTCCTCTATTATTTTCCTTTAGTTCTTTGTGCATGTTTTCCTTCAGTTCTTTGAGCATTAATACAGCTGTTTTAAAGTCTTTGTGTAGTAAGTCTATTATCTGTCCTTCCTCAGGGATGGTTTCTGTCACTTTATTTTCTTGCATGATTCATCCTTTTCATGTTTCATTGCATGCTTTGCTATTTTTTTGTTGAAACCATGACATTTGACTATTATAATGTGGCAGCTCTAGAAATCAGATTCTTGCGCCCTCCTCCAGAGTTCACTTCTTTTTGTAAAAAAATTGTTAAAGGCTGTAGTCATCTGCTTTAACACCATGCTCCCTCTCTGGGAGTGCTTACTGTTGCTATTTTAATACTAGGTTTTCTGTCTGGGAGTGCTGCCTCTGTAGCCACCCTAAGATGGCTGTGCCAAGCCAGGGAGGGGATGGTGTGTGGATGGGTGAAGAAACAATGGTTTCCTACTGCTTATATGTTGCCTTTTTCTTGATTCAGTATTCCCTTAGATTTCCTTAGATCATCTTTAGCTGGTTTCCAGAGTTCTGAGACCATTGATTCCACCAATTTCTGGTGGTTTTGTTGTGGAAAGACAGGAGCATGCAGCTTCTTATGCTGCCATCTTGCTCCATTTCCTATAGATCTTTTTTGATAAGTTTTTTGTAGGAAATATTTTGCTGAGCTGGATAGGCCAATCAGAAAGGACAAACAGGAAGTTTCTCCTCTTTGTACTGGAGGACAGACTGTGAAAAATACCAGGAATTGCCTGGGCAAGATCAAAACAGATTGAATGTGCCTACCTCAATGTGGTGCTATGACTGAATAACTCAGAATGTACTAACTCCAGACAGTTATGTTTTGGGATCATGTGACTGTACCTCTTTGGGTTGTGTATTACTTAGGATTTGTTTCAAATGTGAGTAATAGAAAATTCAAAATAACAGTGATTTAAACTTTAGCAAAGCTTATTTTTCCCTCACATAAACAAAGATGGTCAAGAGTTGTCATGGAAACCCTTGATTATTGGCAACTAGATTACTTCTGTCTTGCTGTCTCCCATTATCATGCAGCAGGAAAGAGAAAGAGGATTTCTCACACCATGAGCTGCAAGGGAAGCTGGGAAATGTACTTTTACTCTGGTTGGCCTTGTGCCAAACTGACATTTGGAGGGTTCTATTACTGTAGTGAAAGGAGAGAACACATATTGGAGACATACCGTTTTTATCACAGGGGGTATGAGATTTCCTTAAAGGAAAAGGATATTCCCCAATGTTATTAATTCTGAGAAGAGGTAAGTTCTGTGAAAGGAATGAAGTCTAAAAGGAAGGTTTTAAACTTGGGTGAGAAGGAAACTTTCTTTTCTTCCTGTGGATAGATATGGAAGAGAGTGCTTAAACTGTGGGAGGGTAAGCTGGACATTCAAGCATTTGGCAAATAGCTGTAGCAGGTAAAGAATCTAATTTCTATAATATGGTATTGGGGTCCCTCAGGGGAGACACATCTAGCAGGAGATGAAGTTATTCTTTGTGTTGTAACTCTTTTCTGTGGTACAAAAACTTCCAGGAAAATATTTTTAAAAGTTGCACTCCGAGATCACTGTGAGGCATTGCAGGAAAATCTTCACTCTTACTTAAGGTGACACGGTACAGTGCAGAGAATCAGTAGGCTAAGGAAAGGTGGTATCTTAATGAAAGAAGGTGATATGTAGCAGAGAAGAATATATTAAAAAACTTGAATAGGGGTCTGTGCCATTGACTTTGGACATTAAAAAGAAGTGTGACTTGAATATTGCTAAATTCTGAGAAATAATTTTTTCATCTCCATTTTATGAATGAATAAACTGATGTTCATACATGGATAAGTGATTTGTTCCCGGCTGCACAACTCAAAAGTGCCATAATCAGGATACTAACCTGGGAGCATCAGACTGAATTTCCATACTCTTAAATTCTATACTACAGTCCTCAGAAATATGGATGTCTTCTCTGGATTAGCATCATCTCCTTTGCCTAACAGTCCTATAGCTACTTGTGTCCTCAAAACTCTCTAACTTGATGCTTTCCAATATGGTAGCCAGTAGCCACATATGGCTATCAAGCACTTGAAATGTGGCTAGTCCCAACTGAGATTTGCTGTAAGTGTAAAATAAAAAGATATTTTGAAGACTTAGTACAAAAAAGAATGTAAAATATCTCATAAATAATTTTATATTGATTACATATTGGTATGTTTTGAATTTATTATAATAAATACAATACATTATTAAAATTAACCTTGCTCATTTCTTTTTGCTTTTTAAAATGGGTCTACCAGAAAATTAAAAATTACATATACTGTTTATTATTTGTTGTCTGCATTCTGTTTCTATGGGAAAGCACTGCTCTAACCCATTGCTTGCTGTCCCTTTAGGAATCTTGTTAAAAACTCCTTGGTCCAGAGATAGGAGTCCTACCCACCCTATTCCCACCCCCCTTCCCTGTATTCTTATATTTAATGGCTTCATGAATTGGGTTATATTCTTCAGTGGAGAAGGTAGACATTTGATTCTATTTTGCATATGGGCCCCCAAAAATCTATGGAAAAAAAAAAAACTCCAACTCTTTCTTTCCTGTTGCCCCAAGAAAAGCACACCATATGAGAGTCATAAATACTTATTTCAGAAGCCTAATCTAGGCCATGGGTCAAATTCAATGCTGTAGTCACCATTCCTGGTGCCTGCTTTCTCTTGGGCTTCTAAACTTAAAATTCCATCCCTTCCCAGCTCTACCTCGTTTGTGAGGCTCTTGTGAGAAAGGTAACGTTATGTAAAGTGTAGGTACTTAAACAGTATTTATTGAATAACTGATGACAGAGAACACAGTTCTACATCTCATTTGATAGACCAAGAAGACAGAGAAGAACTTGGTTTTTTAGGGAAAAGTTCTGCTCAGCAGCTTCTTTCAACTCCAGTTGTGGTGTTGACAGTTTCTATGGTGGTGGTGGTGGTGCTGGTAGTGTGGAGGTAATGGCAGAATCTATGCTTCCTGTGGTGTCAGTCTTGGTAGAAGTGGCAGTACTGGTGGTGTTGGAGTTCAAAGTGGTGGTATTTGTGATGATGATGGTGTTGGTATTGGTAGAAGGGCTGATGCTTATGATTTTGGGGAGAATGGATAAAATATATTTTTTTGGTATCACAGCATTAGAATTATTGTAATTTTTAAAAAATCCTTGGGAGTCTTCTTCAAATGAATGAAGCATTTCAAGTTGGATGAAGTTTTTTATTATTCGAACCATTTTTGGTCCAATACAACATTTTTTCGTCTTGCATTTCTCTATCTCTTTTTCACCCAAGGTGCAATGGTTCTTGCATTTCCCAAAACCCTTTAAACATTTTTTCAAGCCAAGGAATTCTGCACAAAGAAAAGAGAGAACCATTGGGCAAAGGTTAATAACCAGAGATAATGTTAAAACTGCTGGAAGGAGAGAACCAGAGTAAAAGGGAGTTTGTAATACTGTTTTAAGTTCAGTGTTTAGGGATGTTGATGGACACCTGGGCAGGCCAAGAGAGCTTCTGCACATCTCCAAAATCCAGAATAAATCTGTTTCAGTATCCTTTCCTTGAGTAACTTTAAAAATGTAGGGTACATTGGTGAAAAAAGAATAAAAACCACCACCACCACCAACAAAAAAAAAAAATCACTGAGTCGATTTCTACTCATAGAGACCCTATAGGACAGAGTAGAACTGCCCAGTAGGGTTTTCAAGGTTGTAATCTTTACAGAAGCAGACTGCCACATCTTTCTCCCACTAAGCAGCTGGTGGGTTCGAACCACTGACCTTTGGTTAGCTGCTGAGTGCTTAAAAACTGTGCCACAGGGCTCCTTTTTGAAAGAAGAATCGAACTAAAACCAAATCTGTTGCTGTTGAGTAGATTCCAACTCATAGCGACCCTTAGGACAGAGTACAACTGCCCCACAGGGTTTCAGGGAGCTCCTGGTGGATTCAAACTGCCGACTTTTTGGTTAACAGGTGAGCTCTTAATCACTGCACCACCAGGGCTCCATTGAAAGAAGAATAGAAAGCACAATTATTTGCTTTAAGATAGAGATTTTAGATCCCCAACTTAGAATCTGAGACGCTTGTAGGGCATAATCACCCATCCCCATTATCCTAGGAAGCACCAACAAAAGTAAAATTTGTCACAAAATTAACCCAATAAAGAATTTCAAAAGAGAACCATCAGGACTTTTAAGAGTGCTGTCTTTTGCTAAACCCAGTGGTCCTCGTCCTCTCCCTCTTTGACAGTCACTCAATATGTGGTTCCTGGGACATGATGTTCTATCATTTTCAGCCTGTCTGGACACTCTGTCCCTTAGAGGTTTTTATCATTATCTTATCCTTAACTTCATCTCTATTATGATAACTCCCACATTGTTGTCTCTATCTTTAAATCCCCTGCTCAGCTTGGTCCATCATTGTTATCTGCTGTATTTTTCCATCCCAATGTCTCACCTTCTTTTCTGAATCAAGAAAGCTGTTCTCCCTTAACCATCTTAATTCAACTGATTTTCCATAATAACAACAGATTTATGTAGCACCTTATAATTTTCAAAGCATGTTCACATACATTTCCATATTATTTTCTCACCAAAGACAAAACAGAAAAATAATCTGAGGCAAGTCTCAACATTTCTCCTTTCTTTTCAAAAAAAAAAAGGCCAATCCTCTAGTTCAGATTTTTGCCTTAATGTGTTCATATCTGCCCTTAAGGTACCTTTGGGGATTTCAGGAAGAAAAAGGCTGAGGATGAAACTCTGTAAAATCTGGAAAAGCTGAGAGGAGAACATAGACCAGTTCACTGGACTCTAAGAGGATATTTTCTTGAGCATGAAAGTAAGGACTTCCTCCTTCCTAGACCAATGTGCAAACTGATAGAAACCCTTGCTTCAAGAGATGGTTTAGACTAGAAATAAAACTAAAATGAGGCAGACTTGGGCTGAGTCCCAGGATGATAGCTATGTACAGGGCATGGAAGGCAGCTTTGTATGTTGAATAGTTTCTGAGCTCACAGAAAACACCCTTTTTCTCTGTACCTCCCTGGGTGTTTCCATCGACACAGCCTAGGGCTAAGGGGTTATGAGGGTTCATTACTGATGCAATAGGTAAGATCTTCAGTCATTTCTTTGAGTACTTGCTCCTATTGCAGTGGGCAGCCAAATTCCTGCTTCCTCACAATGACCTCTCTTAAACATGGGATTCCACATTACCTGTGTTCACCTGGGACTGTAGCACAAGGCTTGCAAAGATGGGAAAAAGGAGCTTCATGGTAGGGTGCCAGGGAGAAAGTCTTGGATCTGGGTTGGTGTTTTTGAGCTCCAGCCTTTATTGGTCTCCTTGTTGCCTTAGGCCATAGGCAGTGAAGCACAGCCGAAGGTTTGTGTGCTGCTCCCAGAAGTCATGTTTTCCTTGATTCTATTTGATAATAGCCTTTCCTGAACACCTTGATGCAACAAATTCCCTGCCCCTGATCCTGGGGGAAAACATAAGGTATATAATATAGGAAAGAAAAAATAAGCCCTTTGTATCTGTCCTTCTTAATGCTGGAGCTGGGCGGGAATGATATATTTGCTTCACTGTTTGTCAGTTCATTTATACCTAAGGTTGATCCTTAGTGCATGAGACTCGTAAGAGCAGAAACAGCTATAACAATGGACTCCTGGAGGATAGCAACTCTGTCTTGTCTAGAGTGATATCTCTAGTAACCAGTATGTATACTGGATCAACATAGGAACTCCGTACATGTTTGTTGAATGAAGCTCTTGGCATAACTCTAACTTCTGAGTTTCCGATGATTCCCACGTCCTCTAGAAGCAGCAATTTTGTAGTATGCTGCCCTGATTCCTTGGTCATATTTGATTAATCTAGGGGTGGACAATAGAACCAAGTCTACCAGTCAGATACTGTCTCTTGCTAATATGTATTTGTTTTCTACAAAACTCAGATATAGAGGGCCATAGGCTGTAAATCCATTACTGGTTCAGGTCCAAAGAGCTTCCCTGGTTCCTCACTTCTTTGAGGTTCAAACCTTTCTAGGATTCCATTAGCTACTATAATATCTTTCAAAAAAATTCTTGTTTTCTTGAAGCTGTGTAAATTTTCATTATGATAACTTTCCTCTTAAGAACGTTCTACTTCCAAAGTTTCATGTTTCATTCCTATCAACAAAATAACATAATGAAGCTAAGGCACACATACTTACCTTGATACCAGTAGAGGAAATCAGCAGCCCTGTGGGATAAGTTAGTCCTGACTATCACATTTTCATTGTTCTCTGGTGCCTTAAGATGTGTTAAAGTAACATCATTAGCCTCATTGTTTCTTGTTAGTCCAAAAGCAGTAAGAGCATTGAGAGTTCCAGTACAAATAGAAGTGCAGTTATTATGGAATCAAATGTTGGTTGAGTTAATAAAAAACTAAAGTTATGAAAACATTAAGTATGTTGCTCGTGAACATGGGATGAATTCATCAACAGTAAATAATAAATCCGAAACAAAGACAAATTATGCACATGTGCAAGGTGTTGCACCAATATATATCAGTTAGGATTGAGTTGCAGGAAACAGAAAATACTAGCTATTTTAAGCAGAATTATATTTAATACCCAGAATTAGGTGCTTACAAAACTACTGGAAGCTGATTCTAGACCAATTGCAGGAAACTGGCACAGCATAGAAGCTGCTGCTTCTGCCATAATCAGGAAGGCAAGGAAGAGGATCAGGCGACCACGATTGACCTGTTGACTTCTAGAACACACCATGGTAGTTGTAATACAAATGAGGATAATTTTCTGCTGCCACCACAACTGTCTCTTGAAGTCCACAGATAGTGATCATATATCAGAATGCTGTAGCAGAAAGACCCAACTGCTGTGTTTGCCAACAGTAATAGCCCAAGCCATCAGTCAGGAAGACAGCCTCTGCTTCACTTCTGCCTTTTGTTATAGGCGTTCCTTTACTGGTATAACTTAATCCATTTTCAGTTTTCTAACAGCAGTTGTGTCTGGGAAATGGAGCTTTTGCTTTACAGTCTGCCTTATAGAGAAGAACACTATAAGGATTTTGGAATGGATTCAGAAGACTAAACCTTCGTGTCCATTACAGTTCATCCCCTTGAACACTCAAAATTCATATACACCATTCCACCCATATTTAAAATTCCAAGCAGTAAGAATAGCAACAATATATTCCAACATAATATAATGCAACGGTCCCCTGAACAAAGAGAAACATGGCTACTCTCGCTACAAAAGGGATCCCAAAAGTCCTATCAATCTCACTATCCATCTCTGAGTGATGTTCAATCTTCTTAGTTGAGTCACAATGTTGACATTATGAAATTTACAGAATATCTCAAAAATTTAACCATTCATCTTATATCAAATAGTAGGGGTCAAGAGAGTAGGGAAAAATTAGAATATGTGTGTGCATATACTTTGTTCATAATTGTTACATTTTTACCTTTCATTGAAGTATAACTAATATACAAAAATTCACAAATCATAATTGTCCAGATTAGTGAATTAACATAGTAAATGCACCTCTGTCATTGTCATTCAGGTAGAAAAACTGTAGCAGCTCTCCTCTGGTCTTCTCTCTATTACTACCTCTTCCCTCCACCCCAAAGGGTATTTTTTCCCTGACTTCTGATATCATGGATTAAATGGAAACCTACTGCATTATTATTAATGGTTGTATCGGAGTATAATTTATACAACAACAAATTTCAATTCTAAATTATACAATTATATAACTTCACTAAATTTGTAATTTTATTATCATCACAGTCTAGTTCAAAACCTTTTCATCACCCAAAAAAGTTTCCTCATGTCTGTTTACAGCTAACCCCGGCTCCCATCCCCAGCTCACTGATCTACTTTCTGTCTCTTTAAATCTACCTTTTCCAGATATGATGTACATTTCATATAATCTGTAGTCTTTAGTGTCTGGTTTCTTTCACTTAGAAAACAAATGAAAACAATTTGTTTTTGAGATTCATCCATTTTGTAGTATATATCAGTAGTTCCCGTTACTTTTAATTGCTGAATAGTATTATATTGTATGGATATACTACATTTTGTTTATCCATTTATTACTTGATGGACATTTGGGTTGTTTCCACTTTTTGGCTATTATGAATGATGCTGCCATGAACATTTGTGTACATGTATTTATGTGAACATATGCTTTCATTACTCTTGGATAGATTTCTAGGAATGAAATTGCTGGGTCTTATCAGTGGCACAAATGGTTAAGTGCTGGACTGCTAACCGAAAGGTTAGTGATTCAAACCCACCCAGAAGTACTTCGGAAGACAGGCCTGGCAATCTGCTTCTGAAAGGTCATAGACCTTAAAACCATATGGAGCAGTTCTACTCTGCACACATAGGGTTGTCGCGAGTTGGAATGAACTTGATGACAACTAACTACAACATGGCAACTTTATGCTTAACTTTTTAAGAAACTGCCAAACTTATTTAATTACTAACTTATTTAATTTTCCAAAGTAGCTGCACTATTTTACAGTCTTTTATCAGATATGTGATTTGCAAATATTTTCTCCCACTCTGTGG